GTGGATTGGGAAGCAATTGTGCGCAATACATGATAATGTGCACATTGGAGCTTGAAATTGCCAACATATAGCATTTGTGACGGTCACGGGGGAAGGCGAAAGCGCACAAATTAAAAGGAAGTTCAGGGGGCGAACGTCAGGGTCGGATATTCTTGGCGTCACCAAGAGTAGCGCTGTAATTCACCTGAATTTAATCTAATTTTACAATAAAGATGGAGGAAGTAGAAGTCTTCCAACGTGCAGGCTAAAGGTTATTTAGAAGTGGTTATCTAACATGAAGGCGCCTGTCTAGAGGGACGTCAAGCGTTTCTAGCCTAAAAGTTCTAAGTTTCGGAGCCTAGTATTCTGGTTCCTCCCTTGTGGGGGACTTGTGCACACGAAGAAAGGAAATGAAAAACTGAACTTGATCGATGAGAGTTTTAAGCTAGCCTGAATGAAGCTGAACGTTGGAATGAGCGCACAATGACACCATGCAAACTCAGATAAAGCCAAACACAGAATGGGCGATCATGAGATCAATGCAGCAATATTCAATGAATGCAGTGGCGAACGCGTGAAACACGATAAGCGACCAGAAGATGCTGCAACTCCATCTTCTGACGCCTTCTGGCCGTGGTACTAGACCTCAGGACCAGACATCGCCCTCCTCCTCGAGGAGCGGACTTCCGCGGTGGATTGCGACGTAAGCAAGGAAATTCCAGGGGGGTCACCACAGGCGACGCAGGAGCAAGCGCAAGGGCGACAGGCTGCAAGGTTGATGGGGGCGCAGCGAGGGAAGGCACCACAGGGGCAGTAGGCTGCACAACCACGTCGGAGGGAAGGACTGGAGACGGGAGATCATCGACGGGAGTATGAGCACGAGAGTACGCAGATAAAGCGCGAAGCGCTGCGGTCACGTGGGGGGTGGCTGTAGGGTTTGCGTGGAGGTGACGTTGCAATAGCACCGGCACATCCTCTATCAAGTTTGGCAAGGGCTCCCAGGAGGCCTCGGCGTCGTCCAATCCCAACCAATACACCAAAAAATCGAGCGATAGGCGGCCTTTGAGGACACCACCAAACGAACGGACCATGTGACCGCCATCATAGTGTCGGACGAAGTTGAGGAGATCCTCAGTGACATCGACGCGTCGAAATAGAAACGAAGGCGGCTCGCGTGATGCGTGGAGCGACCATGAGGCTCAACGAGATCTTGCACGATAAAAATC